CGTCTGAGCGTTGCACATTAGTGACAGTTCTTACATCTTTGGTATTTTGTGTCCCTTTCAGTCTTGCATGAAACCAAAAACAGGTTGTAAACATTCACGTTAGTTAATTTGTTCTTATTCATCTATGATTTTACATGTGCTGCCAGGTTTTATCCATCGACTGAATGTGCTCTTTAGCCTTCATCCTGAGTGCTGCAATGCTGGAACTCCTGTCATCCTCCATGGGATATTTATCACTGAAACTGGGAGGACACTGATAGGGTGGTGGACCCATGGGCTGCATACTTTGGACCATTCCAGGTGCGCTGTTAAGGAAGCTATGGCTTGAATAGGTAGGCTGCAGGGCCTGCGGTGAGCCCATGAAGCCTGGGATGCTGTGCATGGGCGTGGCACTTGAAATGGGCGAGCTCAGCCAAGGATCTAGTGGCATCGGGTTGGCCATCGGCCCAACTTTAGGAGGCATTGGGGGGCGATTGAATGACAGCATGGGGGAGTCATGGAGCTTCATGGTGTTGGTGTCCATCTTTTCTTGACGTCTCCACTTGGCTCTCCGATTCTGGAACCACACCTGGACAGAGCACAAATGGCACAACTGATTAATCACACTTGTTGACTCTTAAAGGTCATAATCATTATCAAGTTATTTATAAAGTATACTAACGTTCTTCCACAATTTCATTACAACAGATAATGCAGCTCAAGGTACATCTATCAGAAAACTTTGTGGCAGGTGGGTATAAACTAAAAAAACAAATGTTTAAGCCAAAAAAAATACATTTCCAGAGTATACTATAAAGATCAGGTCTAGTTGGACGTTAAATGCAGATATTTGTCCACGGCAACAGAAGATTTGTTAGCAAAAACCACAGTCAACTTTCCAGGACAACAATTTCATTCCATCAGTGTGAAAATGGTTAACAACGAAAAAGGTTAAATTGTGTCATCTGGACCAGTTTCTTTAAGTAAAAACGTTTTGTCCCCCCATCCAGAGGACTTGCTCAGTTGACGGCCTGCCAACCAAAGGTAGCACATATTGGGCTTACAACCTGTTGTTTGGAGTTGTTTCACTTCATCAATAACTTGACTGATTGATTCAATCAAAAACTTTTCTGCACCAAATGGTTGATTATATTGTGAGATTAATTGTCTGAAAGTTGATGCTGAATTGGAGGTGGATCTTTAATTTAGTCCTCAAGCACAAAAACAAATCCACCAAATATTAATTTCAATAAACAAAATAAAGCCCAATGGAATAAAAAAAGGGTTAAAAATTATGTGATTTAGAGTGTTTGCTACAGCACACAACTCTGGTTATTATTAAACAAATTAATTGTTTATAGCTAGGAGTGCCAATAAGGTGGGTAGGCTTTAGAGGGATGGGGGGCAGTCATGCTAGGCCTCCACTAGAATATCTGGGCATAGAGTGGTAAATATACAAACTGTCTGTTGGCAGACTGGGTCGATCCACTTTTAAAAGGTGCTTTTTATATGACTGAGTTTGTGGCAGGCCTCAGACTGATCAAGTCTTTCGGATGAAAGACGCAACGTTTTAACCAGGGCTTAATTTGAGCTGGATCCTGCCAGAACAGGATCCGGGAACTCTCTTATTTTGAGAGGATGCATTCCGGTAACTGTTTGCTTGGATCCAGCTTGGATCCGGTGTTGTTTGACTGCCTTGAATGAATAAAATTTATATTGGATATGAAATCTGAAAACAATTACATAAACACTCATTTTAAACACAACAGCCATTTATGAGCATATAGGAGCTGCAAGTAGCATTTACACATCTACCCTTAAAAAAATCTTCGCCCCTAGAAGAATGGTGGGGGTGAGTGCCGAGTTAACCAGACAGGAGCCCACCACCATGAACAGACAGAGCAGTCGGGCTCGGAACCGTCAAGACAACTGTCAAGGGGTGGTGGCGGCTGCTTGACTCCACCACCATCACTGGGTCGCCCACTATTTGTGTTCCGACATCGATCGGTTTACAAATTAAGTCTTGGTTTTAACCAAGAAGAATCTGTCCAGACCTGACTTAACATTTTTGTGATTTATTTACCTGGAGCAATGAGTATTAACCATGAGACAGATTTTATTAAACCTCCTAAAATGTAAACAGTGGATAAATACCTACAACTGAGTTGCTTTTGGAATAAACAAGGGTCAAGATGGCCTTTAACTTAGTCTATTTCACAAATAATAAGTTGAAAATTGTTGTGATAGTAGCTTAGAGTCACGCCCAACACATGCTTTGAATGTGAACAGATAGTTTGAGAGCTTTACTCCAAACTTTAGCATCTAAGCAACTGTTCTTTGAGAAATGCTAGCTTCAGTAATGAATGTGAATTTAAGAGAGGAGAAGCTTATGACTTTTAAAGTATAAAAACTGCAAAGTATATATGAAAAAAATGTAGGCTTACATCAAGAGGTAGTTCCCTAAGTTCCACACAAATCATTCATTCAACCTTTTTTTATACAGGTAATCCCATTGAGCCTCGGGGACTCATTTACAAGAGAGACCTGATTTCAACAAAGAATGATGACAACAATGGACAACAGCGACAACAACAGTCGTAAAAAGGCATACAGATTTAAAAAAAATATATATATATGACAACAGGGTATGAAACTTTCAGGAGGCACCCGTTTGCATCTTTACCTGAACTCGAACCTCAGGCAGGTTGACCTTCATGGCCAGTTCCTCACGACTGTAGACGTCCGGGTAGTGGGACTTCTCGAAGGCTCGCTCCAGCTCGTGCAGCTGATAGGTGGTGAAGGTGGTCCGATTTCTTCGGTGTTTCTTTTTAGCTTGCTCTTCCTCTTTCGTTGTCTCAGGGGACCCCTCGGCAGCGTCCACCTCCTTGTGCAGGTTGTCCATGTCACCATCACACTTGTCACTGGAGAAAAGATCAGCTTCTGAAATGAAAAACAGAATAAATTAACTAAATTTAGTGGTTTTGAGCTCTGCTTCTTTAAATATTTTACCAAATAACTTTTAGTCACTTGTTTTTTTTCACACATGTTATCTTCAGCTACATTTTTATACACGACTATGAGAGAAAAAAAAAAAAAATTATTTTCGTGACAAAATTATATAATGTAGCACCCAATGATTAGAAACAGTCAACGACTATCACCTCATTAGGCAGCCTTTATGATTTATAGTAAACAGTAACTTCTTGATGAATATTAATTAGTTTAGTAAAGACAAAATACCAATTTAGGATGCTGGCAGAGCAGCTTCACCTCACATTCATGACCAACAGAGACATTTATTCTGTCCTGACCTTCACCACTTTAGGCTAATTGTTACATTTTTATTTATTTAAGTTCATGTCAATTGGTCATTGGAAATTAGGAATTTAAAGTCTGCCTTTTTGGGAGCAAAAAAGTTTCATTTTGACAGAAAAGTTATTGTTTTAACTGCCTTGATTTTTAAATTGGAGAATTTAAATTTAGGCTAATGCCTCTTCTGTAAGGTGCCTTGAGATGTATTTTTGTGAGCTGACAGTAAAATAATAATATTAAAGAATAAAAGTTGAAATACAAAACATGAAGGAATAGTTTAAAGCAACCATACAGTCCATGTCATCCTGCATTCTGCTGCTTTTCTGAAAAGTTTGTTTCATTTTTTTCAGAAGCAGTTGTTTCAATTCTAAATGTAAACTTTTCATTTCTAAAGAAACTCCTTTCCAATGAACATTTAAGTCATTTGTTGCTTTATGTTATAAAAAAATGTACTTGAAAATATGATTTGAGCAAAACCATGTTTTCAGATTAAAATCAAAGCTTATAAACAGCTAATTAAAAAATAAATCATGTATATTTCCTATAAAGTTAGGTTTTTATTTAATCTCTCTGATAAAAAACCCAACTAAATCACAATAAAGCTCCTGTTGTACCTTCAATGGTTTGTAAACTCAAGAAATTTGCTCCAGCCCAGCTGTCAATCATTTATGTTCTTGCAGTAATCCCACAGATATTTGCAGGTTTCAGAATCCTTTGTCTAAAAAGAAACTTTCAGTAAAGTGTGCACAAACTAAATCAACAGTCAGGATCCAGACTGTTTGAAAACAATGGACTGGAAGAAAATGGACCATGTGAGAGATGCTTATTATTCACATTAAACAGATTTAGGCAGGCTGGTTTGCAGATTGTTGGTCATAAAAATTGATCTCATGCAGATAATCCTGAATGTTTAAAGCACAAACAGATGTTAAGTGAAATGACAGCTTCTTATAATAACTTTGTATTGACATTAAGCTTTTTCACATGTTGCTTTAATAAATAATTGTATTTTTCAGATAGATGTGCATGTTGCCGCTGAGAGGCATTATGAGGTACAATAATTTTATTTATACTGTATGACTGCTCACAACACTGTTCTGTTTGGTGGAAGGTTGAAACTGTGAAAAGTTATGTAAAAAAATACCAGTAGACATTTAAGATGTCCCTAAATGATTTTAGCAAACAGTCGTCTGGATACAAATAAATCAAGTTAATATTTAAATTATTATTAAATACATTTTAATAAAGCACAGCAGGAGATATCTTGATTCTGTTTTTAGTTTTTTGCATCAAGAATAATTACATTTAAAAATATATATATTTTATATCAAAAAATTAATTTATTAATTCATTCATTCTTACAGTCATTCATCCATTCATTCAATTTAATCACAATAAATGTATGGCATACAATTTTTGAATACATAACTGGATGAAAGAGAATTAATGTTAGAAACAACCTTTTTAATGACTAGTTAATAATCAGTTAATCATTAGTTCATCATTAGTTCATCATTAATTAATCATTAG